TAGGAAAGAGGTCTGGTTTGGAGATGGGAATTTGAGGGAGTCATTAATATAGGTGTTTATTGGAACTCTAGGCAAGGATGAGATAGCCCAGGAAGAGTATATATAGTAAGCAAAGAGCCTAAGACAGTCCCAAGAGAATACCAACTTTAACGGGTGGGTATTGGAAAAACTACCGCATTAAGTAGACTGGGAATGATTGAGAATGGGGGACACAGTAGTCACATGGCTCTGGAGGGGCGACGTGAGAGTTCAAGCTTTCTTTAAATGTGTTTTCTACCAACCCCGTCTTTTCAGCCTCAAGTCTCTCCTCTTTCCAAGGTACCTGGTGCCTCTAAGGAGCAAATTTGCTCATTTCCATAGAGCATAGAGGTTAAGATCATGGATTTGGGAGCCAGACTGCCTCCATCTGAATCCTGACTCTGCCACTTATTAGCTATGTGACCTTAGGCAAGTTACCTATCTCTTTGTGCCTCAGGTCTCATATCTGTCAACACAGATAATCATACTTGATGCATACTTTATAGGACTACTGTGAGGATTAAGTAAGGTAATAAGCATAAAGTTCCTAGAACAGTATCTGGCTCATAGTAAACACTATATAAACTTAGCTGTTATTATCACTGTCGTGGTCATTATTGTCCCTCTGCAGGCACTTTAGATTGAGGCTCTTCCATCTTGCTGAGTCAGTTATTGCTTCTCTACCTGTGCTCTAAAAACACATCGAAACCTCTTGTCTACGGATATTTCCTCTCCTGTGCTCTGTGATCTTATGGGTTATTACTTTTTAAATTCCTTTTAGTGGTATCTTAGGGGGGAAAGAAATGCTGGTGGTCAGTCTCCTGTGTTTGAACAGAATTTCCTCTAATGCTCTCTGTGTTCTTTTTGTATATAATTTTATTTGTTACATTGGTTCCTATGAAGCTGTATCAATTTTTTATTGGAATAATATGTGCCTAGATAATTACAATTTTATTTTTTGAAAGCCTTTCATACTTTTCCCCCTTTAGACTTTCTGTACCAGAAACTTACCTATCTTTTTTCCGGAATTTTAGAGATACGTTTTCTTACAATCTAGCATACTGATGTCTGACCGTGCACCTCAGTCCCCTACAACCAGATTCTCATCATTTTACTTACATAATCAGTTCTTCCATGTGTGTCAACTTGAAGGCCAACTTCAAGATACTGCCATTTCCTTCTTCACTTGCAGTATCTTTTTGGTGAAGAAATTGTCATCAGAGTAGATAAGGAATTTAATGGGTGCTGTGCTTTCACTGTCAGGTAACTTAGCAAATATCCAGATAATCTAAGTTCCTCTATCCTATTAATAATAACTTACATGTAGGTAGCACTTTATAGATCACATTTGATTTTTATCATAGCCTCATGAGGTAAAGGTATGTATTACACCTGTTTTATGGATAAAGGAAAGTTTTAGTGGCTTGTCCAAGGTCACACACATTGATAAGTGGGAGAGGCAGAGTTTGAACTAAGATTCTATCTCCCAATCAAGTTCCTTTCCACTCTATTCCCTCTTAGTAGTTACTCCTGTAAGTCTTGTGATCTAGTGCAGTAATAGATCATTCCCCTTCTAGCTAGGCAGACCATATCTATACTATCATATTACTTCTGTTTTTCACCCTAATCTTCTTGGCTGTGCTACCTGCCTTAGGCTCATACATATTTTCTTCACATATAGAGCAGGGTTTCTCAGCTGTGGCACTATTGACATTTTGGGTCAAACAATATTGGTGGGGAGGGACTGTCCAGGGCATTGTAGGGTGTTTAGTGGTATCCTTGCCCTCTACCCACTAGATGCCAGTAGCACTCCCCTTGACCTCACAGGTTGTGACAACCAAAATGTCTCCAGATATTGCCAAATGTCCTGCAAGAAGCAAAATTGTCCCCAGTTGAGAGCTGCTGCATATAGAGCTGCTTCGTTTCTCTTCTGCCTCGTTTTTCTCTCCTGTTACCAATATACCCTTTTATTCTAGTTGTGAAACCAATTGTAACGTGCCTCCATGATACTTGTGAAGTTCTAGTCCCTTTTTAAAGTTAAAATCTCTATTTTATTATTTATTTGTTGCCCTCGTGAACAAATACCCGAAGCTGTTAAGTAGTATTCTTGATCCTCTCCTCACTTGGTCTGTTCTCAATCTTTTAGAGAGAAGAGGAACTTCTGGTCTTATAATTTTATCTGGGCATTTTCTCCATAGCCATCCTTGATTAGAACTTCTAAGTCTCTGCAGTCATGTTCTTCCCAGTCTTTATAATATATAATCTCCAACCATGTCAAGAATTTTCTCTTAACAACAGGAAATCAAATGCTGTTTTGTGATGATTTCTTTCCAAAGAGACATTCATTTCCCTTGCTCCTATCTATTCCAAAACTCCAACTCTCATTTGAAGAAAAAAAATCAGCCTTTTTATCCTTAAGTCTGTGCTTCTTACTTATATCACAGTAGCCATAATTTCTTCTCAGGGCTCATCTGGACTTTTATTGTTGTTCCTGTGGAGCTATAGATGGACATTTTGCTCAGCAGGTTTGAAAAACCTCAGCAGTCTCTCCTTCACATCCTAGATGGGATATGGGCCAATAAGATGGCACAATGTTCTGTTTGGCTAAAAGGGGGAAAGAAGAGAAAGGAGTGAACTAATATGAGGATTAGTACAGGCATTGGTGAGGTTTGATCAATCTCAGCAGGATCTCCTTCACATCCTGGATGGAATAAGTGGCCCTGAAAAATGGTACCCCTTCCAACTTGCAATAAAGGGAAAAGAAAGAGCTAGTTGCTTGAGGGAATTGTTTTTGTTTTAGGTTGGGGAGATTTGAGCATGTGTATAGACTGAAAAGAAGGAATTCATGAAGGAAAAATAAATTGAATATCTAAGAGGGAGGGGGAAGATCAAGGGATCCAGGGTCCCTGGGAAAATGGAGGGAATAGAAACACTGTCAGAGGCTGAAGGGAAAATAAAGGTAGTTATTTCCTCCTCTGAAACAAGGAGAAGGACAAAGGAATCAGTAACAGCAAAGGAAAGACTGTGAAGTGAGGAGAGGGAAGGTTAGGGAGCCCTTGTGAATAGTTGATCACCATAATGTATTTGTTGAAATCATCTACTAATAGAGTGAAGGTAGATTTCCAGTCTTGGAAATGATGAGTGTTTAGAATAGCTGCTGTGGTGAAGGAAGAATGAAGAAGAGAAGATTGTCTATTGACCAAGGGTTCAGCCAAGGTCAGATAGTGTGTTTTATAATGGATGGATCCAGTCCATTTTGTTATGTGACTTTCAGAAACTTACACACGCGCGTGTGCACACACACACACACACACACACACTCACACACACGGTTGGTTTAACCTAGGCCTGGGAATTGACATGGTGGGAATGGCAGAAGGTCATGGGGCAGAAGGTCATGGGTCATGGGGCAGAAGGTCATGGGTCTAGTGAGCGCTTGGGAAAACATAACTGAAATGATTGACTTCAGGGAATAGGTAGTTTAAGGCCCAGGAAGGATGATCTACTGGGAGTATTAGAAAGTGTCATAGGGACTTCCCTGGCAGTCCAATGGTTAAGACTCTGCTCTTGCACTTCAGGGAGCACGGGTTCGATCCCTGGTCGGGAAATTCAGATCCCACATGCTACATGGTGCAGCTGAAAAAAGAAAGAAGGCATCAGTATGTTTGTAGCCACAATAAGGGTGAAGAACAGGATCCATGAAAGAAATGGAAGGATAGTAGTAGGATGCAGAGAGGAATTTTGGAGTTCAGGATCTTGTAGATAAAATTGTTTCAGGTTATAAGGGAGTCCAAAGTACGGCTGAATAAGTAAAGTAGTACAGCACTAACAATAATGATGCCATTTGTATATCATTTAACTTTGTTTTGTGTAAGGTATCTTATTAACTCCCCACCACAACCTAACGAGGTAGGTAGATTTGCCTCATTTTATAGAGGAACTTACCCAAAATTGCATAGCTAATCAGTGACAGATCCAGGATTAGAACCTAGGTCTATCTGACACCATTGCCCATGCACTTAACCATTATACTACATAGACTTTCCATAGTAAACATAACCATGGGAGGGTCAGGGGCTTTCAAGGGACCTCAGAGATTATTACAATGTTTAAAAAGTAAACCTTGGAATTTAAGAAGTGGAAAAGAACCTTTACTCTATTTGAAGCAATAAGAGGAAAGGTATTTCATTGTGGTATAATAGACAGAGCATAGGATTTGACTGCAATCCTGAGGTGGAATCTCAGGCCTACCACTTACCCGCTAATGGTACCACTTGACCTTAGGCAAGTCATTTAACCTTTGAGCTAGTTCTGTCATCAATAAACTGAAAATGATAGTTAAAATAATGATAATAATAAAAATAGCTTTTAATGTAATTTCACAGCATTAATTTAAGCATTAAGTGTGATAATGTATATTAAAAGTGTGATAATGTATATAACCACTTGTAAATAACTATACAAGTGGTTATTGTCATGGTGATCGTTATCTGTCTCTCTGCTTTGTTTCCATGGGAAAGGGCAAGAAGTGCCAACAGACTCAATTGTGCATTCACCTTTGTCCTTTGAACTTTGCTTAACTGGAAGACCAACTGTTTGAAAGAGGAAGAGATGGAAAGAAAGTAAAATATCAGAGTGGATATCACCAACTTCTGCCAGCATCATGTTTATTCCCATTTCTACCTATACCACCTAGGAAAAATATGGCCTGTTTCCCAAGGAGCATAAGAATATCTGATAAGAACACTAAAGATTTTTAAATACTGTTGTTTTCATTTCTATGAAGCTTTCTGTTTGAAAAAAAAAAGAGGCACTCTCAGAAAAGTGAACAAGATTAAGAGGTTTCTTTAAGATTGCTGACTTAATATTTCTATAGGGTCTTTATTTCTTATCTCTTTCTCAGGATAGGCATATGTTAGATGTTACCCAGGTAACATGGGTAGATGTTACCAAGCAATTTAAATTTTGTTTCCTGCTATTAGGTATTAATATTAACCGAGGCCTCCTATGCTTGGGAAATGTAATCAGTGCTCTTGGAGATGACAAAAAGGGTGGCTTTGTGCCCTACAGAGATTCCAAGTTGACTCGACTGCTTCAAGGTAAGCCCAAAGTGCCTCTAAAAATAAGAGAGTAACTCAGAATGATAGTGCTGAGAAAGGAAAGATAGAACAGGTAGAAAGCCAGATTTTTGGACTATTACATACAGAGCTGTCTAGTTGATAAACAGGAGAGAGACCTGTTGGCAAGCAGGCTTCTAAGGTAATGGAAAAATGTCTTCATATATGGCTTTGAGAGCCAAAAAATCTGTATGTAGCGTGTCAACTGTACTTAGTACTTTGTACCTGAAAATGAACTTAGTTACTGCCTTTATTACTGCTGATAAGAAGAATTCCCTAAGGAGTTAAGATCTACCTAGAGGGGGCATCCAAAGAAATTTTAATCCTAATAGTGACTCCTAACTTGGCCCAGTAAGGTTTTTTTTGTTTTAACCTGATTAACTGCTGAAGTCACAGTCTCTCTTAAGAACGAGGACACATGCAATAGGATTCTAAACTATATCATTTTATACAACAAAAATCTTAATGTTTTTATATTGACACAATAGAAAACTTGTAGATACTTAAGAATTTTTTTCTTACAGCTCTGAGATTGAAGTCACCAACCAAAACGGACAGTTTTGCTTGCATCCTACTTGTTTGATTTCATTTCCTTCCCTTGTTCTTTTTCAGATTCTCTAGGAGGTAATAGCCACACTCTTATGATAGCCTGTGTGAGTCCTGCTGACTCCAATCTAGAGGAAACATTAAATACTCTTCGCTATGCTGACAGAGCAAGAAAAATCAAGAACAAACCTGTTGTTAATATTGATCCCCAGAGAGCTGAACTTAATCATCTGAAGCAACAGGTAGAAGGAACTTGACATTTGATGGGAAAAATTACAAGTGTGTGAGTGGAATGATAGAGCTCCTATTTCTCAGCTTCTCCTCTACCAGAATTTTAGAGATGTTGGTTAAGCATTATGTTAGTTTGGGGAAATCTTAAAGTAACTCCTATTAACAGGTTTTTGGTCATATTTAAGATTAGGGAGTGGCACTGGAGATTTCACTGATAAAGAAGTGAGCAGTAAGAGATGAGGCAAGAGAGGTAGGCAGAAGTCAGATCCCAAAGGTCCTTATATAACTTGTTAAAGGATTTGGAATTCAACCTGAAAGCTGTAGGGGGCCACTGAAAGATTTAAGTAAGAGGGTAACATGTTGAAATGAGATTACTCTAGCAAGTATATAGAAAGTGGATTAGAGGTGGGCATGACTAGAAGTAAGAAAATAAATTAGGGTATTATAATAACTCAGGTGAGAACTATGGCCTGAACTAAAGACAGTAGCGATAGAGATGAAGAAAGGGGGACAAATTAGAAACAAAAAACAAGGAGGTAGAATGTATAGAGCTTACATATGTGGTGACACATGTGACATGGAAGGGTAGGTAGGGAGAATCAAAGTTGATTCCCAGGTTTCTTGCTTGGACAACTGAATAAATGGTAGTAATAATCATTGAGTCGGGGAATATAGGAGGAAAAACAGGGTCAGGTAGGGAAATGGAAATGATGAAATTCAGTTTTGGGCATTTTGAATTTGAAGGGCTTGTAGGACATCTAAGTAGAGTTGTTCAAACATGACTGGGTATGTGGGTTTAATGTAGAGAGGTCTGAACTGAAGATACAGATTTGAGAGTCATCAGCATTTAGATGGTATCTGAAGTTATGGAGTGGATGAGATCAAAGAGTGCCCGGCACGTTAAAGGCACTTCCTCAATATTTGCTGAATGAGCAAATGGACAAGAAGAGAGAAGAAGCCTAGCAGAACTCAAGGGTAACAGCAGCATTTAAGGAAGGGGGAAAGGAGTAGAAGACAAGAGAGATGAAGAAGGAGCAAACAGGCAGGAAGAAAATCAGTGGTTCATGGAAGACAAGAGAAGAAAGTTTCAAGGAGGACTACTGAAAGTATAAATTTATAAAGTGTAAAGTAAGATAAGGGTTGAAAAGTGTCCATTGATTTTTTTTAATCAACAAGGAGTGAGAAGAGGGTCAGGGGAATGATAGGAGCAGATTGCTATGGGATGGACAGTGAATGCTAGATAAGGAAGTGGAGGAAGTTGTTAGGCTCTTCTTTCAAGAAGGCAAGATGAAAGAAGACAATAGCTGGTAGTCAAGGGTCAAGGGATGTAAATCTGTTTGTTTTTAAAATATGGAAGAGACTTGAACATGTGAAAGAACCAGTTGGGAGAGACTAAAACTGAGAATAGGGATGAGTTGATAAGGGGTCATCTCTTAGTTGAGATCCTGAGCACAAATAAAGAGGGCTTTGCTTTAGACAGTAGAAGGGATACTTGCCCCCAAGACTAGAAGAAAAGAGGTTAGGATAGGAAGAATACAGTGACACTAATTTAGAGGAAGAAGAAGGGAAATTGAGCAATTTTCAGCCTGACGATCTTTATCTTCTCAGTGAAGTAGGAGGTAACGTCACCTTCTAAGAGCAAGCAAGCAGATGATGATAGGGTAGAGGGACTGAGGTAACCACAGAAGGCTTAAAATCACGGAAATTGAAGAAGCAGCTGACTAGGAACATGAATTTGTGGTGGTATCAGTATGACTGTGCAGCAGCTCAGTATCTCTGGCAGAGGAGCTGAGAGGGCAGGTGGTTGGGTTGACCCCTTGGGGGGGGGTCAGGTTTTCTTTGTGTAGCACTCTTCCCAATGGGAATCTAGTGTTTCCCAACTGTCCAGTGTTCACTCCGTCTCTGGCCTTCCTCCTCAGTGATAATAATTACCATTCATTCAATCTGTTGTCTTCCTTCCCCTTATCCTCCTTTATTTCCTTCCCTCTTAGGGTTCACTATAGAAAATATAAATAATTTACCTGTTCACAGAATCATCTCAATTGTAAAATACCTTACTCAGTCCTGCTCCTCTGTTTTCTTTCATGTGTATTACTATTGCCAAAAATGCTCTTTTTCCTGGTCATTTATTTGTTCATCCATTCCAACAATAAATATTTATTGAACACTGTTATGTGCCAGGTACTGTGCTGGGATACATTGTTAAGCAAAGCAGACACAGTTTCTGCGTTCATGGAATTTATTGCCTAGTGGGGGAGACAAACATTAAACACACAATCATACCAACATATCATTATAAACTGGGATAGTGTGCTATAGGGCACTGTGAAAGTATGGAACAGGATCTTCTGTTAAATATCTAATCTGAGAAGGCTTCCCTGAAGTAGTTACATATGAGCTGAGATCTGAGGGACTGAGTAGGAATCATCTATGCAGAAAAGAAAGAAGGGGATTCCAGGAAGAAGAAATAGCATGTGTAGCAAAGTATGATGGGAAACAGCATTGACACTGCAGCCAGGCTGCCTGGGTTCAAATCCTGGCTCTATACCTCACTAGCTATTTACCCAGGGCAAGTTCTCTGTGCCTCAGTTTCCCTATCTGTAAAATGGAAATAATAATAGTACCTGCTTCATAGGGTTTTTGTGAGGGTTAACTGAGTTAATACATGTAAAGCATTTAGAACAGTGCCAGGCATATAGCATGTCTGCAAAGATCTTGAGTTAGGAATACAGTGCATTTGAAGAACTCAGAATGCCAGTGTGGCTAGAGTGGAGAGAGCAAGGAAAGGGTGTTCCAGTCTGAGACTAGAGAAGAAGCAGAGGCCTGATCAACGCCTCATGTACTACGTTAAAAATGATTTTAAGCAAGGTGGCAACATTGATCATTTCCACTTTTAAAAAATGGTATGGCTGCTGTGTGGAAGTGGATTATAGTGGAGCAAAAGTAGACTCATAGAGACCACTTAAGAAGTTACTGCAGTAGTCCAGAGGGAGAAATGGCTTAGAAAGTGATAGAAAGAAGTGACCAGTGGATTAGATAAGGGAGTGAGGGTATGACATCCAGCTTTCTGGCATGTGAAACTGCATATTCACTGACCTAGAGTATACTGAAGAAGGACCAGGTTTGGGATAGCAGAAAACTAGGCAGAAATATTAAGTAGATATTTGAATATAAAGGTTCTAAATTCAGAAAAACTAAGGGGATCTAATAATAGTAATACTCAGCTCCCTGGGCTGATTTGAGGATTAAACAGGATATTATGTCTAAACCATCTTGCGTAGTGTCTGGCTCCAGGGACTAGACTCAGGCCTCAAAGAAGCTCCCTTCCTTTCAGATTTCCTGTCTCACCTTGACATTCATACATGATTATGGTTCAAAAAAAAACCCTTTTATATTCATTATTTAATTTTATCATCATAATAAGCCAGTGAACACAGCAGATATCTTTATTCCCATTTTAAGACACTGGGGTCTAAGAAGTGAATATAGGTGGTTCAGGGCAGGCTGATGGAGGAACCAGGTCTCCTGATATCCTGCCCTTGACTTTTCCCACTGTCTCTCCAAGATGGAGCAGTAGTGGCTTATCAAAGAACAGAGAAAGCTCTTCTCCCTGCAGTGGTATAGTAACTCTGATAAGCCTTACTTGCAGGTTGCAAGGGAGAGATAGCTGGATTGGAGGGAACAACGCCCCCCTACCAGCAGTTCCTTCACTGATGGCCAGCAAATCCCCCCTAAGCTTTCTGCCTGAAGGCTCCTTTTCATAAAATGGAGATAAAATACCAGTTTCTCCCTATCAAACAGCCTTGTTCCCTGTAAATGCTTTAGAAATCTATGTGCACCAAGTGAAATCACATGTGTTGTCATGCTTTAGAAATAATGATGTGACAATAAATGTAAAATACTAGTGATATTGCATTAAAAAAAGGGTTCTAAATTCAGAAAGATCTGTGTTTGAGATAAATTTGGGAGTCACCAGTTTATAGATGGTAATTGAAACCATAGTCAGAGATGAGACTTTAAGGAGAGAATAGAAAGTGAGTGAGCTTTGAGGAACTTTATCATTTAAAGGACAGTTGGATCAAAGATGAACTAAGAGACTTAGAAGATCAACTTGAAGAATAGAAGGAAAAGCAAGAAAGAGTGGCATCTGGTAACCCAAATGCTACCAAACAGTCAAATAAAATGAAGACTGAAAAATGCCCATGGGATGTAGTGACATGCCGATCATTGGTGACATTATCAAGAGTTATTTCAGCGGAATGTTGTGGGCACGAATCAGGTTAGAATAGGTTAAAGAGCAAGTGAGAGAAGAGCAAAAGGAAATGGAGGCAGTAGGTGTAGACTATTCTGTCAAACTTTGTGAAGGAGAGAAATTGGGCAAAAGAGATAGGAAGTGGGATTGGGAAAGGTGCTTTTGTTTTGTTTTGTTTTAAGATGGGAGAGACTTGAACATGTTTTAATCTTAGTAGGAAGGATTCTGTAAAAAGGGAGAAGTCAAAGATATAGAAGAGAGAATGGATAACAAATAGAATAAGATTTTTTTAAATTTATTTACTTATTTATTTATTTGGCTGCACCGGGTCTTAGTTGCGACACGTGGAATATTTTAGTTGTGGCATTCAGGCTTTTAGTTGTGGCATGTGGGATCTAGTTCCCTGACCAGGAATTGAACCTGGGCCCCTTGCAATGGGAGCATGGAGTCTTAACCACTGGACCACCAGGGAAGTCCCCAGAATAGGATTTATCAGAAGGCAAGAAGACTTGGGATCCAAAGCTCAAGCAGAGCAGCTCCTCTTTTATCATAAGAGGGAATGGAGAGGTTGATTGCACATTCACTCTGGTTTAAGATCCGTCTCCACGAAGCCTCCTTTGGACTATTTTGGGATTTCATTAATTTGCTTCTTCTCAGAACCTTAAAGTACTTAACTATACTTGATGACTAGTATCTTCTGTCTTGTGTTATTTCTTAAATTTTCAGGCCTTAGTCTTGTCTTCATCAACTAGATTGTAAACTGGATAATAAACCACAAGAGTTTATTCTTGTATCCACCCCCCACATTGCATAGCCCAGTGCTAAGTTTGATTTTTTTAATTATTTATTTATTTATTTATTTTTGGCTGTGTTGGGTCTTTGTTGCTGCGAGCAGGCTTTCTCTAGTTGTGGTGAGCAGGGGCTACTCTTCATTGTGGCATGCAGGCTTCTCATCACGGTGGCTTCTCTTGTTGCAGAACATGGGCTCTAGGCACACGGGTTTCCGTAGTTGTGGCACACAGGCTCAGTAGTTGTGGCTTGCAGGCTCTCGAGCACAGGCTCAGTAGTTGTGGCACATGGGCTTAGCTGCTCCGTAGCATGTGGGGTCCTCTCGGACCAGGGCTCGAACCCGTGGCCCCTACACTTGCAGGCAGATTCTTAACCACTGCGCCCCCAGGGAAGTCCCTAAGTTTGATTTTTTTAAAAAAGTAGGTTCTCTGGAACTTCCCTGGTGGTCCAGTGGGTAAGACTCTGTGCTCCCAATGCAGGGGGCCCGGGTTCAATCCCTGGTCAGGGAACTAGATCCCACGTGCCTGCCACAACTAAGAAGTCGGTGTGCTGCAACTAAACATGCCACAGCGAAGATCCCATGTACCGCAGCTAAGACCTGGTGCAGCCAAAATAAGTAAATATTTTAAAAAATAATAATAATAAAAATAAATTTTAAAAAAATAGATTCTCAATAAAAACTCATGAAGATGCTTAGGTAAAAGAGACAACTCATCTTCTAAGTACTAGTTATTCATGTAATGCTGATTGTCCTTTTATCATTGAATCATCAACCATGTTGCTTTCTGTAATACCTTTAGATTTCATAGGTATCAAGTAAGATTACCCGACTACTAATCATGGTAATTTTGCTGATAAGGGATAAGTAACTTTTTTTTTTTTTTTTTTTTTTTGCGGTACGCGGGCCTCTCACTGCTGTGGCCTCTCCCGTTGTGGAGCACAGGCTCTGGACGCGCAGGCTCAGCGGCCATGGCCCACGGGCCCAGCCGCTCCGCGGCATTTGGGATCCTCCCAACCGGGGCATGAACCCGTGTCCCCTGCATCGTCAGGCGGACTCCCAACCACTGCGCCACCAGGGAAGCCCGATAAGTAACTTTTGATTGGTAACTAGCTGACTATTTTTCTTTGCCTGTTCCAGGTACAACAGCTACAGGTCTTGTTGCTGCAAGCCCATGGAGGTACCCTGCCTGGATCTATAAAGTAAGAGTCATAGACTAATTTTAAATGTATATTCTAACAGAGCCTTTTTCTCCTTATGATTGTTTTCCCCTGATAGTCTAAAGTTTCTGGTAGCACTTGGTGTCAAGGTAGGGAACTTAACAAACTTGCTGTCTATTTAGGACTAACTAGTTAGCTTTGAGACAACCTGGTATAATAGAAAGAGCATAGGTTCTGGCCTCAGAAATTTATTAATTGGAATTCTACTATGAGGAAGAGCTGTCTCTCCCCTCCCACCATTTATTTATTTCATTATGTATTTATAGCCATATAGACTCATGGGTATTTATTTTATTCTATGCATTAACATCCAATACTAGCATTATGTTTTATTGCTTGTTTTATTTGTTGTTTCTGCTTTGTCCACTAGGAGCTCCTTCAGGGTGGCTGTTGTATTCTTTAACACGCTATCAAGTTTTTAAGCATTTCTACCAGATGCTCCACACCCGTCTTCTATTTTCCCTGCCCCAATTCTGGAATCAACCATATGTCCAAGGAGCCCTGGGTTTTCTTTTTTTATTTGGAAAATGGTGTTTAGAAACCAGATCTGGGTGCTAGGTGTGCTCATTGTTACTGAGAAGTCATTACTTCTAGGCCCTCTCAGTGAGTAGAGCTAGGAAATATCTGTATGTATAGTAACCCACACATATATCTATATTTTTATGTCTACCTAACTGTGTATATATTAAAAACCATGATTTTAGACTGATACATCTGATTCCAGTCCAACACTACAAGGCTTATTCTAATCCTCCCGCTCTCCTTATTTATAACTTCTTTCTCCAGCAGTGAAAAACCAGCTCTCATTATCTGCATTCTATTTACTTACTTGTTCAGTTCTAGTATACACGTAAAATAATTTTGGAATTGCTAGCCCATACCCCTGTGAGAAACACTTTTAGGAACTAGATTACAGCATATATGTATAATTCTTTTGTCTTTAGGCTTAGAATATCCAGGCAAGATATTGTTTCCCAGAGTTACTGTTTGTATTCCATTGTGGGTTCCCACTACATCTTGCTTGGTTAGTTTTAATTGTTTGTTTATATTTTGGGTATATGAGGTGTATGTGAAACATTATCGTGGTCTAAGAGTCAGAGTTTTACAAAAAGATATACTCAGAGCAGAGAAATGCAAATCAAAACCAAAATGAGATATCACCATACACCTGTCAGGATGGCTACTATCAAAAACAAAAAATAACGAAAAGTAACAAATGTTGGAAAGGATATGAGGAGGATGTGGAGAAATTAAATTAGAACCTTTGTGCACTGTTGAAAGGATTCTAAAATGGTGTAACTGCTATGGAAAACAGTATGGAGGTTCCTCAGAAAATTAAAAATAGAACTACCATATGATCCAGCAATCACACTTCTGGGTATATATCCGAAAGAATCGAAAACAGGGTCTCAAAGAGATATTTGCATACCCATGTTCATAACAGCACTATTCATAATAGCTAAGAGGGATTTCCCTGGTGGTTCACTGGTTAAGAATCTGCCTTCCAATGCAGGAGACGTGGGTTCGATCACTGGTTGGGGAACTAAGATCCCACATGCTGTGGGGCAACTAAGCCTGCACACTCTGGGGCCTGCGTGCCACAGCTAGAGAGCCCGTGCGCAGCAGCTGCTGAGTCTCCCCGCACTCTGGAGCCCACACGCCTCAACCAGAGACAAGCCCGCACACCACAACAAAGAGCCCACGTGCTGCAACGAAAGATCCCGCATGCCACAACTAAGACCTGATGCAGCCAAATAAGTAAATAAAGATTTTTTTTAAAGTAGCTAACAGCTTCCCTTGTGGCACAGTGGTTAAGAATCTGCCTGCCAATGCAGGGCACATGGGTTCATGCCCTGGTCCAGGAAGATCCCACATGCCGTGGAGCAACTAAGCCCGTGCGCCACAACTACTGTGCCTGTGCTCTAGAGCCTGCGCGCCACAACTACTGAGCCCGCATACCGCAACTACTGAAGCCCGTGCGCCTAGAGCCCATGCTCCACAACAAGAGAAGCCACCACAATGAGAAGGCTGCGCACCGCAATGAAGAGTAGCCCCTGCTTGCTGCAACTAAAGAAAGCCTGCATGCAGCAATGAAGACCCAATGGAGCCAAAAATAAATAAATAAATAATAAATTTATTAAAAAAAAAGAATATAGGAAGGGCTTAAACACCTTCCTATATTCTATAAAAACTAACTAAATAAATAAATAAAAAGTAGCTAAGAAGCAGAAGCAATACAGATGTCCATCAGTGTATGAATGGATAAATAAAATGTGGTATATACATACAACAGAATATTATTCAGCCTTAAAAAGGAAGGAAATCCTATCACATGTTACAACATGAATGAAACTTGAGGGCGTTATGTAAGTGAAATAAGCCAGTCACAAAAAGACAAATACTGTATGATTCCACTTACATAAGGAATTTAAAGTACTTGAATTCATAGAAATGGAAACTAGCATGGTGGTTACCAGGGGCTAGGGGAGGGGGAAAAAGGGAGTTGTTATTTAATGGGTATATAATTTGAGTTTTACAAGATGAAAAAGTTCTGGAGATCTATTTCACAGCAATGTAAATATACTTAATGCTACTCAACTGTACACTTAAAAATGGTTAGGACGGTAAGTTTCATGTTATATGTTTTTTACCACAATTTTTTTAATGTAAATTTATTTATTTATTTTTTCCTGCATTGGGTCTTCATGGCTGCATGTGGGATTTCTCTAGTTGCGGCAAGCGGGGGCTACTCTTCCTTGCGTTGTGTGGGCTTCTCATTGCGGTGGCTTCTCTTGTTGTGGAGCACGGGCTCTAGGTGCGGGGGCTTCAGTAGTTGTGGCATGTGGGCTCAGTAGTTGTGGCTCACGGGCTCTAGAGCACAAGCTCAGGAGTTGTGGCGCACCGGCTTAGTTCCTCCACGGCATGTGGGAATATTCCCAGACCAGGGATCAAACCCATGTCCCTTGCATTGGCCGGCGTATTTTTAACCACTGTGCCAACAGGGAAGTCCCCACAATTTTTAAGAAAAAAAAACCTACAAGAGAACTAGAAGAAAATATAGGCAAAGTTCTGTGTGCACATAGGTGAAGGTAAAGAGCATTAGAAGCAGTGGCACAAAACTAAAATAATAGACTGGGGTGTGTGTGTGGAGAGTTGTTGTATAATGGGTATGGAATTTCAGTTTTACAAGGTGAAAAACTTTTGGAGATCCATTGCACAACAATGTGAATATACTTAACACTGTTGAACTGTACACTTAAAATTTACTGGTTAAGATGGTAAATTTTATGTTATGCTTTTTACCACAATATTTTTAAAATTTTATTGTATTTATTTTTTTAAACAGCAGGTTCTTATTAGTCATCAATTTTATACACATCAGTGTATACATGTCAATCCCAATCACCCAATACAGCACACCACCATCCCCACCCCACCACGGTTTTCCCCCGTTGGTGTCCATACGTCTGTTGTCCACATCTGTGTCTCTATTTCTGCCTTGCAAACGGGTTCATCTGTACCATTTTTCTAGATTCCACGTATATGCGTTAATATACGATATTTGTTTTTCTCTTTCTGACTTACTTCACTCTGTATGACAGTCTCTAGGTCCGTCCATGTCTCTACAAGTTACCCAATGTCATTCCTTTTTATGGCTGAGTAATATTCCATTGTATATATGTGCCACATCTTCTTTATCCATTCATCTGTCGATGGGCATTTAGGTTGCTTCCATGACCTGGCTATTGTAAATAGTGCTGCAGTGAACATTGGGGTGCATGGGTCTTTTTGAATTATGGTTTTCTCTGGGTATATGCCCAGTAGTAAGATTGCTGGATCATATGGTAATTCTATTTTTAGTTTTTTAAGGAACCTCCATTACTGTTCTCCATAGTGGCTGTATCAATTTACATCCCCACCAACAGTGCAAGAGGGTTCCCATTTCTCCACCCCCTTTCCAGCATTTGTTGTTTGTAGAGTTCCTGATAATGCCCATTCTAACTGGTGTGAGGTGATACCTCATTGTAATTTTGATTTACATTTCTCTGATGATAAGTGATGTTGAGCAGCTTTTCATGTGCCTTTTGGCCATCTGTATGTCTTATTTGGAGAAATGCCTACTTAGGTCTTCTGCCCATGTTTTGATAGGGTTGTTAGTTTTTTTTTTAATATTGAGCTTCATGAGCTGTTTATATATTTTGGAGATCAATCCTTTGTCCATTGATTCATTCACAAATATTTTCTCCCATTCTGAGGGTTGTCTTTTCCTCTCATTTATAGTTTCCTTTGCTGTGCAAAAGCTTTTAAGTTTCATTAGGCCCTGTTTGTTTGTTTGTTTTTGTTTTTATTTTCATTACTCTAGGAAATGGGTCAAAAAAGATCTTGCTGTGATTTATGTCAAAGAGTGTTCTTCCTGTGTTTTCGTCTAAGAGTTTTATAGTGTCAGGTCTTACATTTAGGTCTTTAATCCACTTTGAGTTTATTTTTGTGTATGGTGTTAGGGAGTGTTCTAATTTCATTCTTTTACATATAGCTGTTCGGTTTTCCCAGCACTGCTTATTGAAGAGACTGTCTTTTCTCCATTGTATATCCTTGCCTCCTTTGTCATAGATTAGTTGACCATAGGTGCGTGGGTTTATCACTGGGCTTTCTATCCTGTTCCACTGATCTGTATTTCTGTTTTTGTGCCAGTACCATATTGTCTTGATTACTGTAAATTTGTAGTATAGTCTGAAGTCGGGGGGTCTGATTCCTCCAGCTCCAGTTTTTTTCCCTCAAGACTTCTTTGGCTATTCGGGGTCTTTTGTGTTTCCATATAAATTGTGAAATTTTTTGTTCTAGTTCTGTGAGAAATGCCAGTGGTAGTTTGATAGGGATTGCAATGAATCTGTAGATTGCTTTGAGTAGTATACTTATTTTCACAATATTGATTCTTCCAATCCAAGAACATGGTATATCTCTCCATCTGTTTGTGTTGTCTT